ATTTTGTCTCTCATAGTTGAGGTATACCTATGATGAAAATTACAGGCCTCTCTCATCTTTTTAAGTGGGAGAACTTGCACAATTGGTGGCTGACTAAATACTTTTTTGACCCACTGTATTCAATATCCAACTTCTCTGGCCCACATATTTGGTCTTTGGGATGTTCTGCCTGCATCCCCCATTAGGTCTCTCCAGCATTGTGATTGTGTAGGATCCTTCACTGAATAGAAGCGTGAACTGGAATAGAGGAGAATGAGTAGGAAGACAGGAAATTAGATGCCACAGATAGATCCATTATCAGAAAGAGTGCACTGTAGCATGGAAAGAAATTAAACTCAATGCCCGCACAGACTTTTTGACCATTGCAAACAAGTACAACCAAGCAATTTCTGCCTGAGATCAAACATTCTCTCTTTCTCTTGATGAAAGAGGAAGGTGGGAAAGGGTGCCAGTTTAGCTTTTCAAACAATTTCGCTCTGGTAGCTAGCCAGCTGCTTTCTCCCTTTCTTCTTTGTATTATGGCATTTTGGCTGAGCTAACCCCTTTTTCCATGCTGTCTGCACTCTGTTTGTTATCTTTGATGATAACCCATGATTTTCTTTTCTTCTAAGCCATTCACTGCTTCATTTTCCTTCACCAGTTTCCTCCCTATTTGTCTATGGGTTTTTTGCAAGGAGGACACTGGGAGCTGTAAAGTCCCTGGACACCATTGTTGGTCTAAAGCCACAGTTGAACTGTCAAAGCAGCATTACATTTCTGAATTGCTTGGATTGTAATTAATAATTGCTATTTAGTAGTCTTTGTTGCATGCACTTTGTTGACTTCTTTGAAATTTTCAGACCATAATTGTTTAGTGCTCTTTTAATTAATTTTTTTAGGACACCCTGGGGTGTGAGAAAGCTGGTTCCATCATGCGGGAAGGAAGGAGTCGTGTTGTTGGTCTTGCTACTGATCGATCAGGGAGAATTCTTGCTTGCCATGTGAGTCAGTAGCTCTTGGAGCATATGGGAGTATTGCCAGCCTTCTGGCCCCATTGCCATGGAAAGAGATTTCTGGATCAGCAAGTTTCTAATTTATTTTGTTTTTTCTTTGTTCAAGGGAACAGACTCTGTCCTGGAAATATTCTATGTCCTCAGCAAAGAAGAAGTTCAGAAGAAATTAGAGAAGAAAATGAGGAAAGCAAGGAAAAAAGCCAGGTGAATGGCTTTTTTATTTATTAATAAATAAATAAAAGTATTTATTAGCAGTACATTTCATTTTTATATCTTTCAGTTGATACATAGAGGAACAATGCCTATTATATGTTATTTAAGAAGAATATCAGTAAAATGGTCAAATTAAAATGGTAACACTTTAAAATTCAAGGTACAACCTATTTATGTTAATATTTCTGATTCAAACAGAGGTTGTATTTTTTTGTCCTAGGCAAAAGTCAAATGTGGAAGAGGAAGAACTTGATATCAGTATAGAGTGCAGTCTACAGGAAAAGATTCAGCGTCTTATTAACATCAAGGCTTCTGCTAAAATCAAGTGGGTTTCAAGTACTAAGGATGATAAATACATATTTATTGTTTGTTTATTTAAAAAGGAAGCCAGTGCAAGTGCTGAAAAAACAACAGTAATACTGTAAAATAACCCAACTATTAAAAGTGTACTTAAACCATACAAAAAATTACTGATTGCTACTAATATAGTCCTTTTTCATGACAGCCCCAACAAATTGATTCATAGATCACTGTATATTATAGGGGGTTGGATAGTCCCTGCTTCACTTTTAATATAAACACAAACCTTGGACCAAGTTAAAGAGAAAATTGTAATTTAAATATTTTTGACAATAAAGAGAGAAGGAAAGATTTTCTGTAATACGAAATGAACATGGTCAGCTACAATTCTGTCCATTCTTTCTGCTCTGCTAAACTGTTTTTGGTGAAGTGGGATTTGATGTAGCTTAACAGAGACATTCTAGAAAGTAACAGCGCACAACGGGTGGGGCCATGTAATTAAATACTAACATTATGGCTGCTGAATGCTGAAGGTGTATGAGGAAGGTCAAAGGCAGAGACATGTTGGTTACACATGTGGAAAACGGAGTGGGAGAAAGCTATAGACTGTGTAGGTAAAGGCTAAAGTTTTTGGAAAGTAAGATTCCAGCATTCTGTTGTTATCTCTTCATGACATGATGGATGTCATCTTTCCTGGGATTGTTTTCAATAATGACTTCTTTTGAGGCCTGGCATGCTTTTGCTCATGTCACGAATGATATATCTTAACCATCTTGTCTTCTGTTTGGCCAATTTTTCCAAGGATCAGGGACTTTTCCAATGATTCTTTTCAAAATATTTAACGTTGAGCTTCATTGTAGTACTTCCAGTAAGCAGTCATTATTAGTGCTTCCACTAGTGTTGAATAATTTGTTCTTCTTGTGGCTCAAGGTATTCTCAAATATTTTCTCCAGCACCACAGTTCAAAATGTTTCTTTGTTCAGTCGTACAAGATTTCAGTAGGCAAATTAGGTGGCCCTATACATCCATGTTTTTAAAAGCTGTCCACAGTTTTGGGGGTTCTACACAGTTGTAAGCCTTAGTATAATTAATAAAGTAAAAATAAATATCTTTTTGGTATTCCCTTGTCACTTCCATTATCCATTGGATATTAGCAGTGTGACCTCTTCTGATTCCAGCTTGTATGTCTGGTAGTTCTCATTTCATGCATTATTGAAATTTAGATTGCAAAATCTTGATTTTTATCTTACTACCATAAGTAATAAGTGCACATCATTCAGTAGATTGAGCATTCTTTAATACTAATTTTGGAATTGGAATATAAACCTATCTTTACCAGTCCCTTGGGCAGTGATCTGTTTTCTGTATCTGCTTACAAAACACAAGTAGCATTTCAATTGCATCATTTTATAGGATTTCAAACATTTCTTTCAAATTTCAAACATTCCTATTTCTAACTTTTTTTAAAGTTAGTCAAAATCTTCCTTTTTTTCTTCTACTGGATTATGTTATATCAGCCCAAAGTTTCAAAAGGATAAACAAATTTTAGGCGCAATTGTCTTCGGGGGGGGGGGGGGGTCATATAATTACGGCAAATGAAGCTTATATTTATCCTTTGTTGGCCTCTTTTACACATTACTGTTCGTAACTCATTTAACACTTACATGACAATTACTGCCTTTTTTATTGTTGTTGTTGTTATTATTCTTTTATTGAAACAGATCTTTTGACTTGATACTCAATCCAAAAGGAGAGCTGAAGGCCACCTTAATGCTCCAGAACAACATGATTGAATGTTACAGCCTGAAGTCATCAGGGCAGTGTCCCCAAGTTGTGCAGACATCAAGGATAAACATTGGAGGTCACCGTACTGATGTCAGAACAGTGTCATTTAGCTCTGATAACATCGCCATTCTCTCTGCTGCTGCAGAATCAATTAAGATTTGGAACAGGTATGAAATCTCTCTGAGCACTGAAGGAAGACTTCAGTGGCAATACATGTTTATAAGTATTGTTAAATGTCTTCAGGTGTGAATCCAGACTTTTAATATGGAATCCAGGAAAATGTGTAATGTTTCTTCCATTGATCTCTTGGCATCATTGTCATTTTGGAAAACAGCTACATAGGGGGCCAAGAACAATTGTGCAGATTGCTAAGCTAATTTGATATTAGCTTTCTAAGGATTAGTGTGTGGTCTTTTTTATTTTGACTTTCTCATTTGCCATAAGTTGCAGGCTTGGGGGAAAAGTAGACAAGCACTCCTTCAAGAGAATGATGGAAAGAGAACCTGGTGGGGAGAGAAAGCTTTAAAGCCCTCAGTGAGGGAATTCCAAACTTGTTTATATGTTACCTCTCCCCATATACTAGAGTGAATTACCCAGTGAAGGTGAATTATTATAGACAGAAGGGAGGATTCTATTTACCAAATAGTACACTCTTAAAATAGGAGAGTCACATTTACTTGAGAATACAGCAGTGGAGGTAGATGTCTTTGTGTTGTTGGATTTTTCCTAGGGTAAGTTGTCTTACATTTCTGGGCCATTGCAATGCTTTGTGCAATGGGCAGTCAAACTGAGTATCACTGTGCTCAAGATATTACGGTTGCCATAAAGATTGTTCAGATTCTGGAATAAGATTTTCAGTGGCTGCTAGTCCTAATTTACATATTCCTCCTGAATCGGGGATTTCACGTCTCTCAAATCCAGTTCCGGGAGTGCCCCTGAAAATTGTTAGATGGTTTGTGAGGCATCTGGTTGTTCACTCTCGAAAATTGAAACTACTCATCACCATCTCAGAGCCACTTCATTGGGATTCTTTCTGAATGATCAAAAATCGTTTCAAAGCACTGATCTAATTTATGTTTCCCTATTCTACTGAATTTTGGAGGTAATTCCGAAACTGGGGAAAGCAGAAGTAGGTCAGTATCTCTTGACAGTTCTTAGAAAGAACAGAAGATTTTCAGTGGCTGCTAATCTTAAGGTAGTTGTTTCTCCACAAACAGCAATGTTGCGATTTCTCCACTAAATGAAGCTGGTGAAACGAAGGCAGCTTCTGATAGCCAAAGATAACTTCAGATAACCTTGGTTTGAAAAGTCTATGAGCAAAGTTTAATTTTATACCCAGAGCAGATTTCTAGGCTCTGGAAATTGTAAGGAAGACCCAGTTCTTTAACTGTAAAGATACACTCTTGGCACATTGATGATCTTGAAGCCGTACTAAAATTCCAAAGTGATCATGATACGCCCCAAGCTGGTTCACTCCTATTGTAGAGGGTACATCATGTACACCTACAATTACTGTTTTTCCAGTTGCATGCTGTGCAAGCCACTTTCCACATATCATAGCTCAGTATATGGTTTTGTTTGATTTGGCTAGCTTTTATAAAATAGTATATATTTGAAGAGAAATCTGGGGCTAAATATACTAATCTACATTGACAGATTTTTCCTGCCATTTATATAATTGTAAGAATTTTTCTTTTCCAAAAGTATCTCCAGTAAACTCATTTCCTGTGTATAAGGTGGATCTCTTTGTGTGCTCTTTCTTTTCCCAGGACTACCTTGCAGTGTATCCGGACCATGGAGTGTGATTATGCACTTTGCTCCCTTTTTGTCCCAGGAGATAGGCAGGTCATAGTAGGAACAAAGGTAATTGCTCATCCTTTCTGAAGCATTAGGAGATCTTGCTAGTAATGTCATATTTTTAATAAGAAAAATCATATCTAATCCATACAGAACATTACAACTTCTTTGCAGAAGTTTTATACTGTTGGAGACCGGTCTTTTACAAATGTCCCATCTTTTTCTGTCAAGTTTGCTTTATGTATGGTTTCTAGTGGTCCCCTTCAGGCATTGCTTTGACCCATCTCAGTTGTTCTTGACTTTTGACAGGGACAGACAGAGCTTCTCTTCTTCTCCTTCCTATTGGTAATTATTCTTTTCAAGCTAATTCTGAATCCTTCTCTCTAGTTCTTTCCTTTTTCAAAAAAATAAGCTTTTAGTTTCCTTCCATTCTTCTTTATGTTCACTATAGCTTTGATTGTGGTGGGAGAAGTTTTCTCAAATATCAGAACAAAAGTTCTAAGTAATCCATCCATGTTTGAATAATTAGGAACAAATAACACTTCACCTGCAGTGGAATGTGAGAATGACCTTGGAAGACAGGGGGAAGAGATGGTGCCTAGGGAACGGTCAGATAAAAGGGGGAGGAGCCTGCAACTGAGTAACGGGTAGAGAAAGAAACTTAGAAAGGACCCACCCTAACTGATGAGGTGGTAAATAGAGATGGCAGGAGACTTGTGCTTTCAGACTTGCAAGATTCTGTTAATGTAGCCTAACAATAAAGTAGAAGTAGCTTATCTGGTTGTGTTTCCTGTCTGGTTTACCTGGGAGGGCTGACATCACCCTTCCCCTTAGGACTCCCATCAAATGGTATCACTTGTCCACCTGTCACCAGTTCAGCAGCACAAAGGAGCCTACAGTTCCTACTTCTATGCAAACAGCTGGTTCTCAAAAAGCAGTCTTGATAGTACACCAGGGACCCCAGCATTGACCAACGTGGCTATCCCAGCTGTTCTAGTGATAGGCTCACTCATGGGGGCTATGATTCTCCACAAGTCTGAGACTATCAATGTAGGAATCCATAGCATAGTGCCTCAGATCCCCTTCCAGGAGGGATGTATTTTGGAATCCACACTTTGGGAGAGCAAGAAGCTCTTGGCACCTCTCCTTTGATTTCCTCCTTTTGCAGTAACAGGACTCACCTTTTCTGAACCCTGCAGTTAATGCTTCCAGTTTGTTCCTTGCATTGGCACTTCCTTCTGGTATAATCTTTGAAAAATTACTGGTATTGATAGCTGATATAAATCTGTGTAACGCCTGACAATTTAAATTTTTTATTAGGTTGGAAAGCTGCAGCTATTTGATCTGGCTTCTGGGTGTTTATTGGAAACCGTTGATGCTCACGAGGGGGCTCTGTGGTCCATATCCCTTTCTTTTGATCAGGTAGGTCAAGCCTAAGTTTGTTCCTTTTTACTTGATTGTCTTGATAGAGTTATGCTCAAGGTGACATAATTGCTTGTAATAACATGTGCCCATGAAATCCAGTAGACTTTTTGGGGATGGGGACGCAGGTGGAGTAGGATTCTGTCACTTACTGTAGAGATTGTCATTATCTTCCAGATGGAATACGGCTATGTGAATAATACATTTTGATATGCCAGATGATAGCTCCTGGAATGCTGCTGACCGTGCCTGATTCTTGTCTGCCTTCTGCAATGCTTTGCAGACCATGTGTTTAATGAGAGTATATTACTTAAAAATAAGTTATGTTGGCTTTTCAGGTATAATGTCAGAGCAGGTAGATTTTCACATTATGTTGAATATCCATGTGATAGTAATAATAGTTGATAAGGGAAATGGGAGGGTAATCCTCTGTAGGTATAGAGTCCAATATAGACTTTGGATCGCTGAGGATTTTAGCTTATGTTACAAACCTGTATTATCATGGAAATAAGCTAGCAATTGATTTCCCACTCCAGGAAAACAAACTGGCTGGGCTCCAAGGATCTTTTAATGCTGCTTCTCCTCTAAACCATTTCCAGTGTGATTACTCAGGGGAAGTATTCTCATTGGAGTTGGTTTAGAGGAGAAGAAGCAGTAAAAAACTGGAAACACAAATTGGCGATGGTCTGCCAACAAGTGGAAGTGTTTTCACTTCAACTCACTGGCTTCTCTGGATATAATACACACTTGAGATAGAAGAGTGAATAAAACAATATTGAAATCTTTTGCCGTGTCATCTTTTATATGTAGCAAAAGTAATCATGCTTAGTTTTAATTTAAATGATTTTCTCCTTCAGCGTGGTTTTGTAACAGGAGGAGCGGATAAATCTGTCAAGTTCTGGGAATTTCAGCTGGTGAAAGATAAGAACAGTGTCCAAAAGAGGTAAGGGTGTTTTTCTAGGAATTAATAACATTTGAACTCTGAATTTTATTCTCACTTCTACGGCAGATGAGACTCACAATTGTTGTGAGTCACAGCATTGTTGATACATATAGTTTTGTAGCATGATCTGGAGTGCTCCCTTTTTAACACAATAGACAGAAAAATATTGTATATCTTCTGGACTGTAAAATCCTAATTGTTGTTTCATACAAATAAATATGTGTATATCTTTACATTAATCTCCCTCCTTTTTATAATGTATATTCTTCTCCACTTTTAATTACTTCTTGCACTAAATCAATTCCTTTATTGGTAGGATGAATAAAAGTATATTTGAACACTTTGAAAAAGATGACATTTTTATTGAAGCTGGATTTTTAAAAAATATTTAAAATCATAAATATTAAGTGTCCTATGTTTAAACATTTGGTTCCTATTATCTGGATATAGTCTATTAGAACTACAGTTTATCTCTGAACTAATTCCTTTACTAGATGTACTGAGTTAAAGGAAGCTTTTCAATATAAATGGAGAATGAGTTTAATCATTTTGGGGAACATGTAAATTGCTTATCAAAAGCAGGCCTTTCATTGTTCTGGCCTATGCAGTAATTCTTTGGCCTTGTTTTAGAGTAATCTTATTTTATCTGCCACCTTTTATTGTGAAGGCGGAAGTGAGCTATGGCACAGAGAAGTAGGAAGTAGAAAGAAGCAACTAAATTAAATTGTCCATTGGGCAAATTATTTTCTGTGTTCCAGTAAGTAGTTTTGCAAACTGTTGTGGGTGCTAGTTGTAAAAACAGGTTCTATATGAAAGGATGGGATTAAGTGTGGTCCTGCACCTGACCTGGAGAGCTGGATGAAAGCAATGCAGGATGCTTAGCTGATGTCACTTGGCGCTGTCAGTGAAGCTCTGTTCCTCCATGCAGGCAAGTAGAGGAACCTGTTGCTCCCCCTTGATTTCTGAATCTAGCTGTGCCTTAAGACTGCATATATTGTACTCATCCCATCCCAGGCTCTCTGTGAAGCAGACACGTGTTTTGCAGCTGGATGAAGATGTTCTCTGTGTTCGGTACAGCCCCAATCAAAAACTTCTGGCCGTTGCCTTACTGGACTGCACTGTGAAAATATTCTATACTGATACACTCAAGGTAACCATACTACTTTCAGTTCAGATATCAAATGAAGGGAACAAGTGGGGATTCATTTTAGGCATACAAAATTTTACATTCCCAGTTTGGTGTGAAGGAGGCAGCCATACAATGAGTTAATTTCTCCCTATGACCAAGGAAGAGGTGGCCAGATCTTGATCCTGTCTCTCTCTGGCTGCTTTCTTGTTCTTTCACTCCCTTTGCCAGGAATAATTCTCTGTTTCTCTGATAACTTCCTTTTGTGGCCTATTTCTCTGTTAAGTTTTTTTTCACTGTTTCATTTCCTTTCTGTTTAATTACTTCTTTACTTCCTTCTCCTTAAACTAAAAACCAAACCAAACTTTCCTGTCTGTTTCTTTGTGGAGTATTAGAAGAAAATTATTCAGGAAGTCAAAAGCACCCTTGAAAAGCTGGACGGGTAGGGGGAGCAAGTAACAAACAAAGGCCATGCCGTATTTATGGATAAAGCTAAGCAAAGTTTACTGTTGTAGGCTTTCATGGCTGGTATCTGTTAGGTAGTGTTGGGCTTCAAGATTTAGCGACCGTGGTCTGGAGAACAGATTTCCTGACATTTCGCTGGCAGCTGTGGCTGGCATCTTCAGAGGCAGAGTGGTTTGCTACGCAGATCACAGGCAACTGAGCCAGGACTGATTGGGCTCCTGTCTTTATAGCCAGGTGTGCTGGCTATAAGCAAAGTTGCTGCAGCCATTCCTTTGAAGGATAATGCAATTTTCCCAGAGGGCATCATTAGCACTAATAGAAGCGAATATGTGTAGCTCAGGGTTGAACTGTGGAGTCCTTGGGGTTTTCTGAACTTGGTTGTTTTCTTGCACACGTTTTGCTACCCCGCTAGGTAACTTCTTCAGTGCTAGCTGAACCCCAAGGACTCTATCATTAGCACTCTCTGTAATTGGGCTTTAATGGAGATAGATGATACTTCTGACAATGCTCTAAGTAACAGTCTCAGGTAACTGAGCTGAAAGAAAGGACAAAACCCTCAAGAGCACAGATTTGGTTGTTTTCTGCACTGATACTGTTAAGGATGCTATTGCAGTGATATTAGCTGCTTTTGAGGGAGGAATTTAGATAATTTTGCTCAGCCTCTTACATATGCATGCCTTTCTTATGCAAAAGTATTGAAAAGGTCTTTGGCCAACAGTCTGATTTAATGTCTTAAGGGACCTATTGATGATAGTAGAGAACTGCTTTGGCTCCCCATTCCTCACCAGTATAAGAGGAAAACAAAAGAAAGAACTTAGTCCCTCTTTTGAAACTTTTAGTTCTCCTCCTCTTCCCTCTTGGAACACAAAAAAGAAGCCATTTCTTCTAAAGCTGACAAATGTCCTCAGACTTCCAACCTATGAATGAATGCTAGATATCTGAGGACTCTTAAGTATTACCAGAATAGTCTAGTCCACCTAGAAGTCAGAAAGGGATTACAGTGGTGCAGGGTATGTACTTATTTCCAGGGACCATGATAGCTGACATCAAGATCCCATTTATATATGCGCTAGTGATTTTCCAGAATCATAGTCGCAAGGATAATAATCAGAAATGCAGTGAAGAAACAATCAAGTCTTCCAAAAAAGTCCATAAAGCCGTTTCTTTGGAATATGCTTTTCTCACATCAAGTATGGGCTCTCTCATAAAAGCGTTACTGTATTTGCACTTTTCCCATGAAAGGAACCAGAGCCAGATAGGATAAAAATCTGGGTCACAGGTTTCCTGCCTTCCTGGGCAGTAGGGGAAGATGAATCCATTGCGTGGATTCCCTTTCACATTGCACTGAAAATTACTCCCATGATATCCAACCTTTCTCTCCCTTTGTATGGAAGCACGTTGTACTGAAAGTAGCACATCAGTAATGTGACCTGAGAGACCACCAGAATTAGGATATCTATTAATTGTGAATGAGCATAGAGATGAATTAATCATGCAAGATGATGAAAAAGTACTTCTTGGGTAATGAAAACACAGAATACAAACTCGCTCTCTTTCACTGCTGCCAACTTTTGGTTTCTAATGGTCTGTTCAGGCCTTTATTTTAATTTTGGTATTCTGAGATTTTTAGCATATTTTAAAAGAGCAATTTCATCTAAGTAGTAATGGAAAGAATAGTAGTATTTACTAATACTTATCCAATTGCTGATTACTTATCCAAAGTTCAGTCCTTAACTTTACTGTCAGCCCTACAGCAGGTCGCCAAGGAACCTAGCATGAAACCTGGGAAATTGCTGTTGAAGTTGATCATGCTGAACTTGATTGTCCCAGAAGCAGGCACGATGTGGGGGCAGCTTCCTCTTTTTCCTTACAGAGCAGGCTAAATCTGCAGTGCCCCAAGTGCCTATGGGCTGGACAGTGGGTCAGCCGAAATAAAAGCATGACTTGAAGTGTGGGTGAAAGCTGGAAAGATCTAGGTGTTTACCTACCCTGTACTTTTTAAAATGTGTAACTGAAGTCTTCTTGGTTTTCAGTTTTTTCTTTCTCTCTATGGCCATAAATTGCCAGTGCTGTGCATGGATATCTCTTATGTAAGTATGCCATGCTTTGGAGATTCTGGGATGGTTTTATGCTGGAGGAGTGTGTGTGTGTGTGTGTGTGTGTGTGTGTGTGTGTGTG